TCTGTATAAACCACAGTTTATCCATAATTATTCAACCAGTCACCAACTTTTCTCCTGTAATTTATTCTTTCAAGGATATTTATTGAGTGCTTACTTTAAATATGCCAAAGTCCAAGCTTCCACAGACATTTTTGTTGTTGATGATAATCCTCACCTGAGGATATTTTTCCATTGATTCTTTTAGGTAGAGGGGAGGGAGAAAGAGGCAGAGAGAAATATCAATTGAGAAAGACACATGAACTAGTTGCCTCCAGCATGACCCCGACTGGGGCCAGGGATCGAAACTGCAACCCAGGCACATGCCTTTGACTGGGAATCGAACCTGCAACCTTTTAGTCCACAGGCCAATGCTCTAACTAACCACTGAGACAAACCGGCCAGGGCAATAAAACGCCTTTGGTGACTTTTTAAATTTTTATTCCTCACCCAAGGATATTTTTCTATTTATCATCTGATAGAGTGGGAGGGAGGGGGAGAGAGAGAGAGACAAAGAGAAACATCAATATGATAGAGCCACATCAACTGGTTGCCTCCCACATGACCCGACAGGGCTGGGAATGAATTGCAACTGAGGTACATGTCCTTGACCAGAATCGAACCCATGACTCATTGGTCTGAGGGCCGATGCTCTAACCAGCCAGGGCTGGAAGCCTTTTTAAACAGGTGCTTTCTAAACAGAGACAGGAGGAACACAGTTGTCCCAAGACACTGCAAGCCTGCAGTGGGAACCAGAGTGTTTTGATTGGCAGGGGCCTGTGGCTATAATCACGAGGTTCCTGGAATTGAAGTAGATGGAGTGCTTACTAAGGTGCTACTTGGCATGTACAGAGGGGTCATGGGAGGTCTTCAAGAATTATTTCAGAGGACTGGCACCTGTGAAGGTAATTGCAGGGTGAGATAAAGGATGCTTGGAGTCAGGACATGGAGGCATTGGTATAAGCTCTGGTGCAGGAAGAGAATCTTCAGCCTGTAGGCTGGGCAGGACATGATGGTTCAAGGACAGAAGGTGGAATAGGAACTGGCCATGTCTTGAGTTTTATCCCAAGGTTTCCACAGCTGCAGTGCTGACAATAATAAAACTAAATAGCACCGTCTGTCGCTCATGTCTCTGGGAACATTTATTGTGCGTCTTCTGTGTTTCAGGCACTGTGCCAGTGTTGGGGATGTAATAGTGGACAAGGCCCAGTACTTGCCCCAGGGTACTCTGGGCCAAATGGGGAAGACAGATGAAAACAAACAAATAGAAAATAACTCCAAACTCCCAGAACTAATAAGTGACTTCAGCAAGGTTGCAGGACATAAGAGTAACACAAAAATCAATTGCATTTCTATATATTCAAATTGAACATGTAGAAATGGAAATTTAAAACAATACCATTTAAAATTGCTTCCAAGAAAATGAAATACTTAGGTCTAAATCTAACAAAACAGATATAGGATCTGTAGGCTGAAAATTAAAAATTGTTAATGAGCCCTGGCTGGGTAATTGAATTGGTTAGAGCATCATCTGACATGCCAAGATTGTGGGTTCAATCCTCCGTCAGGGCACATACAGGAATAACCAGTGAATGCATATATAAGTGGGACAACAAATCAATGTTTCTCTCTCTCTCTGTCTTCCCCCTCCCCCTTCCTCCCTCTCTCCCTCCCTTCCTCTTCCTCACTTTAAAAAGCAATCAATCAATAAATTATATTTCAAAAAAATTGCTGATGAAAGCAAGAAGACTCAAATAAATAGAGGAGCATACTGCATTTGTGGATTGGGAGACAGAACATAGCAACAATATCAGTTCTCCCCAAAATGATTTATAGATTTAATGCAGTTCCTACCAAAAATCTCAGCAAGGTTATTTGTAGAAATAGGCTTATTCTAATAATTTTATGGAAGAGCCAATGGCCTAGAACAGCTAAAACAATTTTGAAAAAGAAGAATAAAGTTGGAGGAATCATTGTAGCAAATGTTAAGGCTTACTATATAGCTGCAGTAATCAAGACAAATAGGGTATTGGCAAAGAGATAGACATACAGATCAATGGAGCGGAATAGAGAACTCAGAAATAGACCCCAGATATGTCCAACTGATTTTTGACAAAAATGCAAAAACACTTCAGTGGAGGAGGAATATAACCTTTGAACAAATGGTGTTGGAGCTATTAAACACCACAGGTAATAAATAAATAAACCTAAAATTGAAAATGGATCATGGACTTAAATGTAAATTTTAAAACCATCACTCTTTTAGAACAAAACAAGAGAAAAATCTTTGGGAACTAGGACGAGGCAAAGAGTTCTTAGATTTGACATGAAAGTAAGTACAATAAAAAAAAAACAAAACTGATAGCCCTGGCTATCGGTTTTGCTCAGCGGTTAGAGCATCGGCCCGCAGACTGAAGGGTCTCAGGTTCCATTCTCAGTCAAAGTCACATACCTGGGTTGCAGGTTCAATCCCTGGCCCTGGTCTGGGTTGTGTAAGAGGCAACCAATCGATGTGTCTCTCTCACATTGATGTCTCTCTGTTTCTCTCTCCCTCCCTCCCTAACCCTCCCTCCCTCTCCCTCCCACTCTATCTAAAATTAATAGAAAAATATCCTTGGGTGAAGAGTAACAAAAAAAAAGGAAAAGGTAATTTTTTAAAATAAAAAATGAAAAATTAATAAAAATTTAAAACTTTTACTCTGCAAGAAAGGATGAAAAAGACCAGCTATAAAGTGGGGAAACTAAATTTTTTTTCTGTATGGATTTTAGAGAGAGGAAAGGAGAATGAGAGAGAGATAGAAACATCGATGAGAGAGAACATCAATTGGCTGCCTCCTGCACACACCCCCACTGGGAACTTGGCCCACAACCTGGGCATGTGCTCTGACCGGGAATTGAACCAGTGACCTCTTGGTGCATGGGTTGGTGCTCAATCACTGGGCCACACCGGCTGGACATTAAAAAATTTTTTTTCTTTATTGATTTTAGAGAAAGAGGAAAGGAGAGGGAGAGAGAGAGAAACATCAATGAGAGAGAACATCAATTATTTTAAAGCCACATACTCAACAAAAAACTTGCATCTAATATATAAAGACTTCTTAAACCTCAACAGTAACACAATCCAGTTAGAAAGTGGGCAAAAGACATGAATAGACACTTCACCAAAGAGGACATACATGTCGCAAATAATCTCATAAAAGGATGTTCAACATCATTATTCCTTAGGGAAATGCAAATTAAAATCACAATGAGGTAATAATGCACACCTACCAGAATGGCTAAAATAAAAATGGTGATAACACCAAATGCTGGGAAGGATGTGGAGAAACTGGTTTGCTCATACATTGCTAGTGGAAAAGTAAAATGGCATAGTCACTCTGGAAAATAGTAGTTTTATATAAAATTAATATGTATGCACTTACCATACAACCCAGCAATGTATTCTTAGGGATTTATTCCAGAGAAATAAAAACTTAGGTTTACATGAAAACCTGTACATAAATGTTCATAGCAGCTTTATTCATAATTGTCCCAAACTGGAAACCACTAAATGTTTGTCAGTGGGTGAATGGTTAAACAAACTTGGTACATCCATACCATGGAATACTACTTGTACATAACACAGAACAAGCTATCAGTATACACGACAACTTGGATGAATCTCCAGGGAATGATGCTGAGTAGAAAAGCTGATCACAAAGGTCACATACTTTATGATTCATTGTATATAACATTCTGTTTTATTTTTTTGAGAGAGAGAGAAACATCGATATGAGAGAGAAGCACTGATTGGCTGCCTCCAGCATGCCCCGTCCCTGACCAGGAATGGAACGAGGGACCTTTTGGTGCACAGGATAATGCTCAACCAACTGAGCCACACCAGCCAGGGCTATATAACATTTTTGAAATAACATAATAGGGATAGAGGACAGATTAGTGGTTGCCAGGATTAGAGACTAGGGGTGGGCGAAGGGTGTGGTTATAAAAGGGTAGCCCAAGAGAGCTTTGTAGGGATGGAAATATTCTGTATCTTGATTGTGGTAGCTACATAATCATACATGTAGACATGTGATAAAATGGCATAGAACTATACACACAGACACATGTAAGTAACACTGGCAAAATCTGAATAAACTCTATGGACCACGTCAGTGTTAATTTGTGATATACTATAGTACAATTCATCTTAGAGTGCAGGGTACTACCATTAGGGAAAAGTAGGTGAAGGGTATGTGGGACCTCCCTGTGTGTGTGTGTATACATACACACATACACATATATATATATCGTTTTGAAACTTTCTGTGAATCTATAATTATTTCAAAGTTTAAAAATGATAAATTAGCCCTGGCCGGTTTGGCTCAGCGGTTAGAGCATCAGCCTGCAGTCCAGAGAGACCCGGGTTCGGTTCCCGCTAAGGGCTCGTACCTCGGTTGCAGTTTGTCCCCGGCCCTGGTTGGGGTCGTGTGGGTGGCAATCAGTCGATGTGTCTCTCTCACATAGATGTTTCTCTTTCTCTCTCTTCCTCCTCTCTCCCTCCTGTTCTGTCTGAAGATAAATGCAAATATGTCCTCGGGTGAGGATTAAAAAAAAAAAAGATAAATTATGGGAAATGCTATCAAAGAAACCCACAAGGGGCTGAGATGGAGAATGCAAGGAATACCTTCTGATGGGGTGGCAAAGACCCCTGTGGAGAGATGATATTTAGGCTGAGAGAGAAAGAATGAGAAGGGCTTGTGGAGGAACATTTAGCCATGCCCTTTCAGAGAATCCCCTTGGCCAGAGACATTGAGAACATTGTTAGACAGAACCAGTGCTAGAAAGGAATGTCTTGCTTTTCTTTCTTTTTTTTTTTTTTTTTTGGTACATGCCCTTAGCAGGAACCAAACCCGGGACTCTCTGATCTGCAGCACAGCGCTCCAACCGCTGAGCCAAACCGGCCAGGGCTGTCTTGCTTTTCTTGTTGGCTACTAATTCCCTACTCTGTAGTCCCCTGGGTTAATTCTCTCCTCTTCTGCCATTAGCCTAGACAAACTGCTTGATGCTGGTCTCTATACTGGAGAAGTGACTGAAATCACAGGAGTCCCAGGTAGCGGCAAAACCCAGGTAACACGCAGCCTGGAGGATTGGGGAAGGTGGGTCCTGGATCCCTGGGGAGGTTTCTGCCAGTAGCTTGTGATTCAGAGCTTGGGAGAGAGAAGATGGGTGGTGAGGAGTAGGCCTTGAACTTGACCCATTCGTGTCACTGGGATCTGAACTAGATTTGGTGAGGAGCTCCCATTCTGTGCAATCTATGAGGGCTCAAGTTCACCCAATGCCTGGTCTCTACTCAGGTATGTCTTTGTGTGGCTGCAAATGTGGCCCATAGCCTGCAGCAGAATGTTCTGTACATTGATTCCAATGGAGGGCTGACAGCCTCCCGCATCCTCCAGCTACTTCAGGCCAGAACTCCAGATGAGGAAGAGCAGGTAAGGGGCAGGAGTGTTGGATTCCCTTGAGGCTCTGACACAAAGATGTCATTACATTGTAAGAATTTTGGCCATTGGGATGAATGGTTCTTTCTGGCCTTGAAACTTGCTGTTCTATTAATATTTCCTGTATTCTTCAAGCCTCCCTGTTATGATGTCATCCCAGCTTGGATGCTACCCACACTGTCCTCCCAGGAAACCCAGCTCCTTGCATACCTTAATTTAGGGCTGGCAAGTACCCAGCATCAGTATTTCTACCCCACTTCTTGCCAGTAGCAGACACCGATGATCAGTTCAATCACTCTGTCCCTGTGCTCTGACTTGGTGTTACAGCTCAGCACCCAAGCAGCCACCACTGTGAGAACTGCCCCGTTGGACAAAGCCCACTTGCCATCCTGGACCTGAGTCCTCGTATCCACATGTCTCTTCTTACTCACCTTAAAATCCCCTTTTACCTTGCTTGACCCTGCTCCCTCCAAAGCCCCTCCTTCTCTTTCCCACCCCTTCAGGCAGAAGCTCTCCAGAGGATCCAGGTGGTGCATGCCTTTGACATCTTCCAGATGTTGGACGTGCTGCAGGATCTCCGAGGTGCTGTGGCCCAGCAGGTGAGTCTGCTGTTCTGCCCCTCCCTGCTTCGCCCACCTTGCCAGGTGCTATCTGTATGTGGGCAGGTGTCCCACTACAGACTCTTTGGAAATGCAGATGTGCAATCTGGTGATTCCAGCTGTGCTTGCCTCTCCCAGGATGGGATTCTGAGTGTTTAATTCATTCCTGAGTGTCTCGTTGTTTACATACTCATCTTCCCCACTAAACAGTAAAACCCTTGAGTGCAAGGATCATGTCATATTCATTTCTGCATTCCCCCGTGGGATCAGTTTTCAGCTGCAAGTAATAGAGTATGACTGACAGACACTTAAACTTTGAGGATATTTAATTATCTCATGAGTCTGGAGGTTGGCAGGGCAACATTATTAGGGCTCTAGGTTGGTGTGTCTGATTCTCTTGCTCTTTCCTCTCATCATTGCAAAGTGGCTGCTATTGATCTAAGCCTCATCTTTTTATATACACACATCCATAGTTAGGGCAGTGAGAGTTGTTGCCTCTTTTTTGTACTTTTTCCCTTTATCAGGGAAGAAAATCTTTCTCTAAACCCCGCTAGCAGACTGCCCATTTTACCCTTACATCTAATTGGCCCAAACTGAGTTATATGTGTATCTTAGACCAGGGATTGGGCCCACCTTCCCTGATGTCAGAAAATCTCTGCCCAGTACCTGACCACATTCAGAGTTCTGTTAACAAGCAAGAGGGGTTCGGAATGGCATTTGGGTTGTTTCCCTGCTAAACCTGCTAGGTGTTTAGACAGGATTTGGTGCACTGATTTATAGACCATTAGATTTGGAAGACACCTTAGAATAGTTAAATTAATCTGAAGTGTTTTCTTTCACCCCAGAGTATGATATGTCCCCATGGGCATACTCAGGATGGTGTATCATTTTTATTTATTTATTTTAAAATCCTCACCCGAGGATATTTTTCCACTTATCTTCAGATAGAGTGGGAGGGGGAGAGAGAGAGAGAAGAGAGAGGAAGAGAGAGAAACATCGATGTGTGAGAGACACATCGACTGTTTGCCACCCTCACAACCCTGACCAGGGCCGGGACCGAACTGCAACCGAGGTATGTGCCCTTGACTGGAATTGAACCCACAACTCTTTGGTCTGTGGGCTGACGCTCTAACCACTGAGCAACTGGCCAGGGCATGTATCATGTTTACAAACTTTAGAAAGTATAAAAGAGTTGAACAACTACTTGCCATAGGAGTCATAGCTACTTATGTTGTGTTGAGACATGAAGTCATGTGGCCCTGATCTAATCCAACCCTCTCCTTCTAGAGATGAGATGAGGGCCAGGGAAGTTTGGTGAGTTGCCCAAAGTCACCACATATTTAGGATAAGAACTAAGCTTATAATCAAATCTCTTTACTCCCAGGTCAAAAGACTATACTTTTTGCCTTGACCAGTGTGGCCCAGCCAGTTAGAGCATCATCCTTTGCACTGAAGGGTCACAGGTTCCATTCCTGGTTAGGGCACATACCCAGGTTTTGGGTTCCTTCCCTGGTTGAGGCATGTGCAAGACGCAACAGATCGATATGTCACGCGCTCTCGCCCCTTCTCCCTTCCTCTCTCAGGAATCAATGAAAAGCATATTCTTGGGTGAGGATTAAAACAAACACACACAAAAAGACTGTAGTTATTACTGTGGGACCATAAGATATTATATATTCTATGATTGCATAACAAGTTATCACAAACTTAGTGACTTAAAACAACATATATTTATTACCTCACAGTTTATATGGGTCAGGAGTCTGGGCACAGCTTGGCTGGGTCCTCTGCTTAGGGTCTTAGTAGACTCTAATCAAGGTGGCAGTTGGGCTGTGTGTGTTCTCATCTGGAGACTTGCCTGGGGCGAATCTGCTTACAAGTTCACTCAGGTTATTGGCAGAGTTCATTTCCTAGAGGCTTCAGTTTCCTGTTGGTAGTTGGCCAGAGGCCACCTTCAACTCCTAGAGGCTGCCCACTGTTCCCTGCCATGTGGCCCTTTCCATAAGTAGTTCACAGCATGGCCATTGGCTTCTTTAAGACAGCATGAGAGTGAGAACAAAATTTTTTTTTTAATAATTTTTTTATTTTTCAATTACAGATGATGTACAATATTATATTAGTTTCAGGTGTACAACCCAGTGATTACACATTTATATAACTTACTAAGTGATCACCCCAATAAAGCTAGTACCCATCTGACACCACACATAGTTATTACAATATTGTTGACTGTATTTCCCATGCTGTACTTGACATCCCATGACTATTCTGTAAGTACCAATTTGTACTTCTTAATCCCTTCACTTTTTTCACCCATCCCCTCAAACCCGCTCCCATCTAGTAACTGTCAAAATGTTCTCTGTATCTATGAGTCTGTTCCTGGTCTGCTTGTTCATTTACTCTGGGTTTTAGATTCCACATATATGTGAAATCATCTGACATTTGTCTTTCTCTGTCTGACTTATTTCATTCAGCACAGTGCCTTCTGGTTCTATCCATGTTGTTACAGATTTCATTCATTTTTTTTTTTTTTTTAATGGCTAAGTCATATTTCATTGTATATATGCACAACTTCTTTATCCATTCATTTATTGATGGACACTTAGGTTGCTTTCATATCTTGGCTATTGTAAATAAAACTGCAATGAATATATTATGCATATGTTTTTTTGATTTAGTGTTTTGGGTTTCTTCAGATAAATACCTCGAAGTGGAATCGTTGGGTCTTTCATTGTTTCATGTAATAGACTTGTTTTAAAGTCTATTTTGGGCCTTGGCTGGGTAGCTTAGTTGATTGGAGTGTCATCCCAATATGCCAAGGTTGCAGGTTCACTCCCCAGTCAGGGCACATACAAGAATCAATCAATGAATGCATAAATAAGTGGAACAACAAATTCATGCTTCTTTCTCTCTTTCGCCCTCTCTCCCTCCCTCTCCCCACCTTCTCTTGTAGACAACATATGTAAGAGTCTTGTTTTGTTATCTATTCAGCCACTGTATGTCTTTTTATGGAGCCATTTAACCTATTTACATTTAAAGTAATTGTTTTTAATTAATTTATTTTTTACCATATTATTATTCATATTTTTATCTTTTTTTTCTTTTCCTTCTTAAAGAAGATTTATTAACATTTCTTGTAATACTGGTTTGGTCGTGATGAATTCCACCAGCTTTTTCTTGTATAGGAAGCTCTTTATTTGTCCTTCGATTCTAAATAATAGCTTTCCTGGGTAGAGTAATCTTGATTGTAGGTCTTTGCTTTTCATCACTGAATATTTTGTACAATCTTTCTGGCCTGCAAAGTTTCTTTTGAGAAGTCAGCTGACAGTCTTAGGGGAGCTCCCTTGTAGGTAACTAACTGCTTTTCTCTTACTGCCTTTAAGATTCTCTCTTTGTCTTTCGTCTTTGGCATTTTATTTTATTTTATTTTATTTTTTAAAGTATGTTTTTATTGATTTTAGAAAGATTAAGGAAGAGGGAGAGAGAGATAGAAACATCCATCGGCTACCTCCTGCATACCCCCTACTAGGGACCGAGCATGCAACCCCAGTATGTGCCCTGACTGGGAATAGAACCAACAACCTTCTGCTGCATGAGATGATGCTCAACCAACAGAGCCACATCAGCTGGGCTAATCTTTGGCATTTTAATTATGATGTTTCTTGGTGTGGACCTCTTTAGGTTCATCTTATGTATGTCTATTTCCTTTACCAGGTTAGGAAAGTTTTCTGTCATTGTTTTGTCAAATAAGTTGCAATTACTTACCCTCTCTCTTCTCCTTCTGGTACCCTCATGATGCGAATGTTGGTATGCTTGAAATTGTCCCAGGGGCTCCTTAAACTATCATTTTTTGGGATTTTGTTTTCTTTTTGCTGTTCTGATTAATTGTTTTCTGCTTCCTTATCTTCCAAATGCTGATTTGATCCACTGCTTTATCTACTCTACTATTGATTCCCTGTAATGTATTCTTCATTTCAGTTAATGTATTCTTCATTTTTGACTGATTCTATTTTATGTTTTCTATCTCCATTTTTATGGAGTTTCCTGTCTCTTTGTTGAAGTTCTCACTGAGTTCATCTACTCTTCCCCTAGTTCACTGAGCTTCCTTATAACCAGTGTTTTGAACTCTGCATCTGTCAGATATTGCTTATCTCTATTTTGTTTAGTTCTCCTTCCTGTTGCAGTTGAGCCTTGATTGCTGTTGGCACATCAGTGGGAGGAATTTACCCCTAGTCCAATCAACTTCGAGGACTGGTCATGACTACTGCATGTTGCTGCTGTGCAGGAGCTGACCCCACAGAGCAGGACTCACTTCAGCAAGGCTCTGGTGCCTGATGAGTCCACCCCTTGAGTGTGTCACTGGTGATTGGGTGGTGCTCCAGAGTGGTCTGAAGCTGGTGACTGGGTGGCAACATGCTGTCTTATGTAACATAACATAATCACTGGTGTGATGTCTCATTACCTTCACCATATAACATAGCCTAACTAAGAGTGGCACCAACACCTATGATATTTTATTAGAAGCAAGTCACACGACACATCCATCTTCAAGGGGAGGGTATTATACAAGGGCTTGAGAACCTAAAGGGAGGGATCATGGGGGCCACCTTAGGGTCTGTCTGCCACTGATGACCTGATAATTCCATAGTTACAAGCAGAGACAGGCTTGCTGTCCCATTTTAGCCAGAGATTTCAACCTGCTCTCTCACAGTACGGAACTAAGCCAATTTTAGCTTTTCTCTTTTTTGCCATCCTCTCTTTGGTAAGCAGATGACTGGTCAGGAGTCAGTTAGTGGAAGATGAAGGAAGTCATTTCAAAGACAGAACAGGTAATGCTGAATATCCAAGACTCAGTTGATATAAAGTGAAAAACAAGTTGAGGAGACAGAATCAGCAAATGACTTGGATATAAGAAGTAAGGGATAAGGGAAGCGTTAAAGACAATTTAGGTCCAAGAAACCAGGAGGGTGCTAATACTTGTGTAGAGATAAAAAAATTATGGTTATAACAGATGGCTATCTGTATAGTCTATATTTGGAACCATTTTAGATGAGCTCCTAGAGGCATGATCTAGAAGGAGACAGTGAAGTTAAGAGAAAGCTAAACTCAAAGGAAGTTAGGGATTTGGGAAGTAAACAGGAGAGGGGAAAGAAGGGCCTGACAAGATTGTGGGGAGCTGGCCATTAGGAGAAAGATGGCCACTAAGAAAATTCCTGACCAGGGAGCCGTAAAACTCTGAACAGGGATTTCTCAAATTTAATTGTTTTAGCCCTGGGTGGTTTGACTGAGCAGTTAGAACATTGGCTTGCAGACTGTAGGGCCGCAGGTTCGAATCCAGTCAAGGGCATTTACCTGGGTTGCAGGTTTGATCCCTGGCCCCAGTTGGGAGGCAACCAGTTGATGTGTCTCTCTCACATCGATGTTTCTCTCTCTCTTTCTCCCTCCCTCCCTTCTACTTTATCTTTAAAAAAAATATACATATATATATGAATGGAAAGATATCCTTGGGTGAGGATTAACAACAACAAAAAAATTAAATTGTTTTAGGGTATCTGGGATGTCCTGTGATTTAAACCCTCTCTTGTCTTTAGTAAAATATGCTATACATACAAATGGGGTTGGGGAAAAAAAGACATTGCTGAAATTCGGTGATGCCGGCGCCGCTCTATTTGATTAAGGAAGGTTCTTACCAGCTTGTAGGAGCAAGCGTGTTCTGTAATGGGAGCCCCCTAGAGGCCAAGTGGTTTATGGCACCTGCTTCTCCCTTAGGTGAGCAATTCTTCAGGGACTGTGAAGGTGATAATTGTGGACTCTGTCACCGCCGTGATCTCCCCACTTCTGGGAGGTCAGCAGAGGGAAGGTGAGTGATGTGTGTGGCAGAGCCCAGGGTCAGGGAAGTGGTCCTGTCTCCGAGCTCTGGAGTCCAGTCTCCAGCCAGCCAGTCCCTGCTGCCCTCCACCCTGTTTATCCTCCTCCAGGCTTGGCCTTGATGATGCAGCTGGCCCAAGAGCTGAAGACCCTGGCCCGGGACCTTGGCGTGGCAGTGTTGGTAAGGAAGTGGACTTGGCCAGCGTGCGTGTCTTACCTGTGATCCCTGGGCTTCACCAAGGGAAAAGATGAATACGATTTCTAGCTGTAGCAGCTTCTGAACCCCCAAAGTGGCCCTTTAGGAAAGAAAGGGTCATAGCCCACCTTCCCTGGGTCATCTAGAGCACTGGGCCATGAGGGGAAACTGTCCTAAATAGCCAGGGGATCAGGGACAGCCTTGTCTTTCATTTTATTTTCTCTAAGTTAGGTAAATTCACATAGAATAACTTTCTTCTTGTCTGAAGTTTGACTAACAGATATTGTTGTATCCTGCCTTGTTACCCCACTGCAGTCAAGACACAGAATATCTATTTACTGATCTGGTTTCTGTCACAACAGTTTTGCTTTTTCCAGAGCTTCATAGAAAGGGATCTTCTGTTTTTAAAATTACCTTTTCTGCTTATGGAGTAATTTCTTAAAAGTCTGCATGCTTCTCATAAAAAGGGTAAAAAATAGTTAAATATGAGTCAAATTTGTAATCAATCACATCTGCATTAACCATATTTTTATATACGTTCATAGAATCTTTTTTTCTCTGCAGATATATATATATATATGTTTTTTTTAACCACTTTTCAACTAAACTGTAACCAACCTTGTTAAAAAAAAAAAGTAATGTACAAGCCCGGCCGGTGTGGCTTAGTGGTTGAGCATAGACCCATGCACCAAGAGGTCGCCAGTTCAATTCCTGGTCAGGGCACATGCTCAGGTTGTGGGCCTGATCCCCAGTGGGGGGCACGCACGACCAACCAGGGCCGGGGACAAACTGCAACCGAGGTACGTGCCCTTAGCGGTAACCGAACCCGGGTCTCTCTGTACCACAGGCCGACACTCCAACCGCTGAGCCAAACCGGCCAGGGCCCTTTCCCATGTCTTTAAAAAGATTCTTTAAGAATGCCTTTTTTTTTAGCAGTTACATATTGTTTAATACCTGTGTTACAGAGTTTTTCTATAAAGGGTCAGATAGTAAATATTTGAAGCTTTACGACCATATGGTCTATGTCACAAGTACTCAACTTTGCCTACAGAGCATGTGAGCATCTGGAGAGAATGCCTAAATGAATGGGCAGGACTATATTCTAAGAAAATTTGATTTTCAAAAATAATTTTGGGGCCAGATTCGGCCTGTGGGCAATAGTTTGTTGACCCCTGGTGTACCATAACAATCTATTTCCTGATTTGAGGTCTTTAGATCATTAGTGGTTTTCCTCTATTATTTTTTGTTTTGTTTTCCCCTTTTTTTTTGTTAACACTCACCCGAAGATAAATTTTCCATTTATTTATCTTCAGATAGAGAAGGAGAGAGGGAGAGAGAAAGAAACATCAATGTGAGAGAGACACATCAACTGGTTGCATACCCCAGGACCCTGACCAGGGCCGGGGACGAACCACAACCAAGGTATGTGCCCTTGACCAGAATCGAACCCGAGACTCTTTGGTCCACAGGCCGATGATCTAACTGCTGAGCCAAACTGACCAGGGCTTTCCATTGATTTTTAGACAGGGGGAGAAAGAGAGAGAGAGAGAGAGAAACATCGATATGAGAGAGACATATTGATTGGTTGCTTGAGGCCAGGCATTGAACCTGCAACCCAGGTATGTGCCCTTGAATGGGAATCAAGCTCCAGTCCGTGGTCCTACGCTCTAACCGCTGAGCCAAACAGACCAGGGCTTGTTTTCTTCTATTTTAAACAAAACTATAGTGAACACCCTAATACCTAAATCTCTTTGTACATCTCTTATTATTTTCTCAAACTCCTAAAAATATAAAAGTGTAATTACTGAGTCAGGGATACACGTATTTTTAAATATCTAGATATGCCATTGCCAAATTTCCAGGAGGGCTTATTAATTAATTGCATACCCACCAACAGTGTAAGAGGATCTCTTTTACTGTTCTTCAGTTCTCATACTGGGTTCCAGGGCCTCCCTCTCCTGATTTTAGGATATATGTGATCACCTGCTGGGTGCCAGGCTCTGGCTTAGGCAGTGGGGATTCAGTGATAAACAAGTCACAGCTCTTGCCCTGGGGGGGATGGAGGGTGGGGAGAACCTCATCGAGAGGATACTGTGAGGCTTGGTTTGCTTACCTATGACTAGCCTGGGTAGAGTAAAACTGACAAACCAGGTTAGGAACCCCCTTCCAAAATTCCTCCACATCCCATAAACACAAGTGCACCCCTTGACACAAAGGGCTGGATGGACATGGTCCCAGGATTCCTGTCTGCTGAGTTGGGGACTATAGTAGGCTCAAGCCCACCACTGGCCTCCCTTAGGAAAGTGCAGACAGTACTGTTTATTCCCAGACACATGCCCCATCACCTTCATTGGAGTCAAGCCTGAGGCATCGTGGTTTAGTGGAAAGAGCTGTGCACAAGCCAGGCACCCAGGGTTCTAGTTCAGGACTGCCATGGATAGGTTATGGAGCCTTGGGGAATGCATTTCTCCATGCTAGGTCTCAGCATTCTCATCTGTAAAATGGAGTAGAAACAGATGTCTACTCTACTGACATTATGGATCTGTAAGTCTTTGATTCTTTCTTCCACAGGTGACCAACCACATGACCCGAGACAGGGACAGCGGGAAGCTCAAACCTGCCCTGGGCCTCTCCTGGAGCTTTGTGCCCAGCACCCGGATTGTCCTGGCCACCAGCGAAGGAGCGGGAGCCCCAAGCAGTCAGCGCACAGCATGTCTGACCAAATCTCCCCGTCTGGTGAGCCAGTCCCAGGGGAAAATAAAACTAATAATAATAAATAAAAATGAAACTAATAATAATAATACTAAATAAAATCTGGGTCTTGAGGGTAGTGTCTATGCCCATGGATGTCTTATAGAGAAATTCTTGGATGCTGAGACCTTGCAACTAAAGAGGCTGCCCACTGGGTTACTTAGCTCAAAAACTTACCCTTTCCTGCCCAGCTGGAGTGGTTCAGTGGATTGAGCATTGTCCCATGGACTGAGAGGTCCCAGTTTAATTCCTGGTCAGGGCACATGCCCAAGTTGTGGGCTCAATCTCCAGTAAGGGGCGTGGTGCAGGAGATAGCCGATCGATGTTTCTCTCTTACAACCATGTTTCTATCTCTTCCTCCCTTCCTCTCTCTCTAAAAAATCAATAAGAACATATTTAAAAACAAAAGCACTTACCCTTCCCTCCTGTCTTTTTCCAGCCAACAGGTTTCCAGGAGACGGTAGACATCGAAACCTGGGGTACTCTGGAGCAGAGTCCAGCGTTGCAAGGAGATAAAATATGACTGTGCTGTTGATTGGGAGCGGGAGGAGCATCAAGGCCCCAACTCTCCTGTGCAAGAATACCTGCTGTTCACTGCCAACCAGCACTCGGGACTGTAGGAGAAGCTCTCGGGCCAGGCAGAAGAGACACCTCAGTTGCCTTAGCTTCTCTCTCTCTGGAAACATGCAGGACTCCTGATGAGAGAGGATGCTGTAATGGAAGAACCCAGCAAGTCTTGCTGGAGCCTGGTTTTCTTCCCTTGTTTCTACCACATATATTTCTAGTGGGAGCCAAGATCCCCCTGGCTTGGGGCATCTCTGAAGAGACACACTGGTGACTGGATGGGTAACCCTGTGTGTCACCATGATACCTGCACTCCATCCTAACACAGGGGCTGAACCATGAAACCTGCCTTTGCTTCTCTTGTTGTTGGTTTTTTGCCTCCATTTTTCTATCTGTAAAATGAGGCTCTCTTCCCCTTACCTCTGTTTTTGAGTTACTGAATTGAAGTAACCTTGTAAATACAAAACTCCTCTTCATCTATGTCCTGCTCTTAAAAATATAAAAAGGAAATTCCCTGAGCCCAGATACACCTAATTTCCCCCCAAGAAGGTCGTTTTCAGTTTCCCCCAGTGAGGCCCCAAAGAACGGTTATTCCTCTTTTGTTCTTGCTGATTTGGTTTCACACACCTGCGTGTATCACCAGGACTAGGTGAGACGGGGAGCTCGCTGAAGTCCCAGGGATATAATCTAAAGAGGAGAGGATGTGACCTGCTCCTAGTGAATCTAGACACTTGCTTAATATGCATGGTGCCCTGTGGGGCCCCTCCACAGTAGGGAGTAACTAGAGGTGCTGAACCATGGCCTTGCCCATAAACAGACACAGGAGAATTTGCTCAGTAAATAGAGCCAGCTGGGAAAATTGATGCTGGCATAAATAATACATGGCAAATCTAGTCTTCATGCAGAAATTCATTGCCAGTGGCTCCAAGATGCAATATAATTACCCTTGTCTTCCTGCCAGCTGTACCACAGCCTAGTGCCCTAGTGTTTGAAATAACCCCCTGTCTGTTACCAGCACTGTAGCCATCCGTCTGAGAGCTGTCACCCTGGCTAGGAGGAGAGGACACCAGGGAGAGGAAAATAAAAAGCAAAGTAGAGGAATTATCGGGTTGTTTACTGAACACATTTTTAATGTTATTTATTTGTTTGTTTATTTATTTATTTATCCTCACCCAAGGATATGTTTTTAATGATTTTTAGAAAGAAAGGGAGAGGGAGAGAGAGAAAAAGAGCAACATCTATCAGTTGGCTTCTGCACACACCCGACTGGGTATCGAACCCTCATTCTAGACATGTGCCCTGACTGGGAATAGAATCTGCTACTCTTTGGTGCACAGGATGATGCTCCAACCAACTGAGACACACCGGCCAGGGCATGCACGCATTTTTTGTTTTTTTCTTTATTGCTTTTAGATAGAGAGGAAGGGAGCGGGAGAGAGATAGAAACACGGATGAGAGAAAACATCAATTGGCCACCTCCTGCATGCCCCCCACTGGGGATTGGGCCAACAACCTGGGCATGTGCCCTGACCGGGAATTGAACTGGTGTCCTCTTGGTGCATGGGTTGACACTCAACCACTGAGCCACACCAGCCGAGCATGAACACATTTTTTAAAGGAAGGTTGATTTCCTCGGTTAGAGAGCCTGTTGTGTAATTAATTAGTTGTGTCTCTGCTGCAGGAAAAGGGGTGTCAGAGTTAGAGATGGATGATATGACATTTAGAGATGATAAACGCAGCAGGGATAGAAGCAAGATGCACGGAGCGTTGGGAATGCATGGCACACTGGCTCGAGGGTATCTATCTGCCTGAGAGGACAGGGTTGGTGAGCCCAACTGTGGGAACCCTGGTGCTGCTGCTCTCACAGAACACCCCAGAAGAAATTAATCTTCAGTATCCTTATACTGTGAGTGGTTGGCACGTTTCTGCAACCGTGGTGGGAAACAATACTTTAAGCTAGAAATAGCAAATCCCTGCCACTTACCATTTAGGCATCTTGAGCCCACACAGACATCACCAACCCATCAGGCATTGTTTTTTTGTGGAGCTAGTAGCCTTTTGCAGTTTTTCTCCACATTGCACTCCAGGTAACCACAACCAATCAGTTGAACTTGGCATTCAGCATGGGGCCTGGTTGCCATCTCTGCCCTGGGGATATCTGCCATGTTTCCAGGTGCTCAGTTCCTGACTGAGGACCTTTGAATAATGTGGTTTGAGAGGACTATAAAGATCATCTGGCCCATCCTGTTATTTGACAAAGAAACAGACCCAAAGAGGCACAGTGACAGTCCCAGTGGTAGAACAGGGCTGGAATCCAGAACTTCTGATTCCCAGGCCAGGACTCTCTGTTCCCAATTGCCTTTAATTTCTAATCCGCACAGTTCTATTCCCACTGGAGTATATACTCCAGCTGAAGGCATCACAGCCCTCACCCAGGTGGCATCTCTGGCCATGGGATGGTGGCTCATTCACTGCTATGCCAGACCACCTGCAGGACCTGGCATTGCTGCGGGACCTGGCCTCTCACACTTGCTTCCTCCTTGGGCTTTGCTCTGAGACCAGGGCTTTATTGCCGTGTGCTGCCACTGCACACTCTGCTCTGGGCACACCACACTGGACAGTTAGTTACCCATCATGCTTCAGGCCAGGCTGGCTCTTCTACCCAAGTGCCCTTCACCCCCTTATATGCTGCCTCTGCCCACCCCCACACTCCACTGTGGCTGGTGCACCTACTCTGACATCCTCCCTTTCTTACTCCTCAATGGTGGTCCAGATGATGGTTCTTATAACCCTTCTGTACTGTTCACTTGTATTTTCCATTCAACTTGTCTGCCCATGAGCCCAAGATCCACTTTAAGGGCTCCCATGTCAAATTTTCCTTTGTTCTTTACACATTATGGGAGCTCAGTAATTGTTAAATATGTGAATGGGTGGGCTATAATGCATTTGAAAGATGACACAGGAAGAATTCAGGAATGTTTTCTCCTGACCTACATAGTCATTGAGTGCCCAGAGTGCCTTTTTACATACTTTTTTTTTTTTTTATCCTCACCTGAGGACATTTTTGCATTTATCTTCAGATAGAGTGGGAGGGAGAGAGGGGGAAAGAGCAGAGTGAGAGAGAAACGTCAATGTCAGAGAGACACATCGACTGGCTGCCACCCACACAGCCCTGTTGGGGCTGGGGACAAACTGCAACCAAGCTACATGCCCTTAGCAGGAACCGAACCCAGGACTCTGCAGGCCAACATTCTAAGTGCTGAGCCAAACTGGCCAGGGCTACATACCTTTCTATAGAGGACTGCTGTATGTCCTTGGTTTGATATTAGAAAAAATTAATTAATAATGAGTACCTACAATGTGCTAGCACTTGATGACTTTAAGTCAGACACTTGAACTCCCAAAGACTCTCTCAGGCAAAAGGTCCATGTATCATTGAGGCTATTTTCAGCTGCAAGTAATAAAACCTTGCTTAAAGAGGCTTAAACAGTAAGAACATTTATTATCTCTAGGAACATAAAGTCGAAGGTTCACTCTTTACTGGCTCATTGCCAAGGGGTGTAGTAGGACTTTTCCATCTTTCTGCTATGCTCTCCTTTTGTGTTGGTTTTGTCTTCAAGCTCATGTGCTCATCAAAGTCTGGCTGAAGTAATCAATCTAGATAACACATTATCAATATACAGGAAAGTGGACACCTCCTTGTTGTGTGTGCCCTTTAAGAATCATGAAAAATTGCCCTGGCCTGTTTGGCTCAGTGGTTGGAGTGTCGGCTCACAGATATAACTGGGTCGCAGGTTCAATCCTTGGCCCAGGTTGGGAGGCAACCAATCGATGTGTCTCTCTCACATGGATGTTTCTCTCTCTCTCTCTCTTCCTCCCTCCCTTCCACTCTATCTAAAAATCAGTGAAAAAATATCCTCAGGTGAGGGGAAAAAAAAGAGTCATGAAAAATCGCCCTGGCTGGTTCGGCTCAGCGGTTAGAGCTGTTGGCCTGCGGACCAAAGAGACCCGGATTTGGTTCCCGCTAAGGGCACGTACCTCGGTTGCAGTTTGTTCCCGGCCCCAGTTGGGGTTATGTGGGTGGCAACCAGTTGATGTGTCTCTCTCACATTGATGTTTCTCTTTCCCTTCCTTTCTCCCTCCCGCTCTATCTCAAGATAAATGCAAAAATGTCCTTGGTGTGGATAAAAAATTAAAAATTAAAAAAAAAAAAAAGAATCATGAAAAATCATGCCCTGATGCGTGGCCCGTGTGGCTCAGTGGATTGTGTCATCCCATGAACTGAGAGGTCCCGGTTTGATTCCCAGTCAGGGCACATGCCCGGGTTGTGGGCTCCGTCCCCAGTTGGGGGTATGCAGAAGGCAGCTGACTGATGTATCTCTCACATCGATGTTTCTATTGCTCTCCCTTCCTCTCTCTCTAAAATATCAATAAAAACATATTTTTTTAAAAAGCCATGCCCTGGCTGCTTTGGCTCAGCGGTTAGGGCATCAGCTCATGGACCGAAGGGTTGAGGGTAATTTCAGTCAAGGGCATGTACCTGGTGCCCTGGATTACAGGTTCGGTCCCTGGCCCGAGTTGGGTTGTACAGGATGCAACCAATCAATGTGTCTCTTTCCTGATGTTTTTCTCTCTCTCTCCCCCTCCCTCCCTTCCACTCTATCTGGGAAAAAAAAATTTAATGGAAAAATATCTTCAGGTGAGGATTAACAACAACAGCAAAGAGTGTTTTCCCTGATATTTTTATTGTCCTATTGTTTTGGCTAGACTAACTTCCAGTGCTAAATTGAATAGAAGAAACAATAGCCATTGTTCTTGTTCCTGACATTAGTGGACTGTTTCCAATATTTTATCATTAAGTAAGATGTAGGTTCCCTGTTTAATCAAGGTAAAGACTTCACTGCATTTCCAGTTTGTCCTGGAGAAGGGAGCTCAGGTCCTGCCATTATATTTGTCAGGCATGGAGTTTTCTTTCCCAGTCAGTGGAAGGTCCACGTGTCCTGTAGCTATACAGCTGCACTTCAGCTGCTGCACAAGTTTGATTACTTGAGTAGCCTTTGAATCCTACCTCCCCCTGACTCTGTAGTTTCTGGGTGTAATAGCCTTAATTTAAGCTTAGGTTTTGCCAGAAGACAATGAGCCTAACTGAAAGGCTACAAAGGCAAGGAACAAGATTTTTTTTACATCTCAACTAACTTGGTCTTAGCCTGATACTCACTTGCTCTGCCATTGGGTGACTCACTTAGCCTCTTTTTTTTTTAAATCCTCACCCAAGGATATTTTTTTGCATTTATCTTCAGACAGAGTGGGAGGGAGAGAGAAGCATTGATGTGAGAGAGACACATTGATTGGTTGCCACCCTCATGACTCCCACTGGGGCCGGGGATGAACCTCAACCCAGGTACATGCCCTTGGCTGAATCGAACCCAGGACTCCGTGGTCTGTAGGCCAATGCTCTAATCACTGAGCCAAACCGTCCAGGGTTCACTTAGCCTCTTTAAGCCTCAGGTTTATGTTATTTCATTTATTTATTTTATTTAATCCTAACTCATGGACATTAGAGAGAGGAAGGGAAGGGGAGAGAGAAATATCGATTCCATACTTGCCCTGATGGGAAGTTGAACTGGTAATCTCTTGGTGCACAGGACAACCCTCAACCGACTGAGCCATTCCAGGTGGGTGCTTCTTTTTTTTTAATGGAGAGAGAGAGGGAGAGAGAGAGAGAGAGAGAGAGAGAGAGAGAGAGAGAGAGAGAGAGAAAGAGAGAGAGAGTAGTTTTTCCACTTATTTATGGATTCATTGGTTGATTCTTGTATGTTCCCTGACTGGGGATTGCACCCACAACCTTGATGCATCTAGATGATATTCTAGCCAACTGATCTATCTGGACATGGCCTCTTTAAGCCTTAGTTTTATCCTTTGTGAAATGGAGAAAATAAAACCTGTTACATAGAATTGCTTTAGGGTCATATAGCTTAGGTAAAACACTGAATGTTTTTCCAGCAATTCATAGGGACTCAATCTCATATCATTGTGAGGCTGATGATGTCTGGGAGATACTGGTGACAACTACCTTCCATCCAGGCAAGGCCAGCTTCATG